CTGAGCTGACAGCAGAAACTTTGTTGAAGGTAAAGATTTTTAAACAGCAGGAACATTTCATGATACACGATGAAGATCTAAGATTTCCTTTTTCAAACGTTCGTGTTGCTCTGCTGGTCCAGGCTGTCAGGCCGTGGACCTGTAGGTGGCGCCAGTCAGTAAGCGTTATGCTCTGGAGACGTGACCTGATCTCTTATAGAGCTTCAGCTGGATGTCGTGTTTGTGTTTGCAGCGTGTGCAGCTGTCCGGCTGCGTTCACAGCTGGGGATTCGATCACAAACTTCTCTTGAGTTTTTCCTTCAGTCGTCTCTGTCTCAGTCTCTCGTTAGGCTACAGCGAGCTTCAGTTCTTGGCATCGATCCTCCGGGTCTGTGGATCTGTGCTGCTCTCAGCCTCCACCTTCTTCAGATCAAACAAAATCGATGTGAAACGTGTGCAAAACATTTGTGCTGATTTTGTTTTAAAGACATTAACAAAAGTCTCCCAGCCTGTTTCTTCACTGTGAAAATGTTGTGAAACATAAACCAGTGCTGGACAGTTTTTATCATGATCACTCTGTAAAAGTAACAAACTGGGTTAACTTAAAATATTTTAATAGTTCCAATAAACTACAGTATGAAGAAAACAAACCATCAGATCGATGTGGGCACGTTTCCTCTCAGAGCAGCTAAATACGTGAAACTGCTCAAGTTTACAATAACTCCATAAATAAGCTCGTTCATCACAAACAGCACAAACGTTCTTCTGAAGAAGGCGGGGACCGTTCCTGTGTCTAAAAGTCAAAATGTGGACGTGTTCAAAGACGCAGACTTGTCTCTGACCACGAACGCGCCGATTTCACTTGAAATCAACAAACTGCAGCTTTTTGCCGCGTGGATCAGAAGAAAAGTTTGATGCAGAGGTGCAGGAGGATTTCTGTTTTAGGGTTTTTGTGTCGTCTATCAGCTGATGGGACAGCAAGCTGCCCCCGGGGCCGGGGTCAGGGCTCTCTGCGTTCCATGAACTGACATTTTGTGACAAACATGCTACACGTCACACACGTGTGGAAAAACGAGTGGGGTGAGTCACCTCCCCTGAATCTTGTCACCATGAGGCCACGTGTCTGCAGCCGAGCAGCTGAACATGAACACATGAAGGTTTCCGTGTGCGCGTGACACCTTTAATATCTCCATAAATATCTTAAGTTTGTGTCATTGGATCGAAGGTGTGAAAGAAGCTGCAGTGAGATGTCACATCAGGATATACTGTGAAATAAAAGTACATATTATATTCTATTTTTATTCTATTGATCTGATAGTTTTATGTATTTAATTGTTTTCGGGCGCTCAGCCGACCGTCACTCGTGGTTTGTTTTATCTCAGCACCAGGAGATGTTTTGATGTTGTCTCTATGAAACACCACCAAGGCCTCTTTAGGATTTCCCGCTGACCTGTAAAGACGAGTCTCCGCCCCCATGGCACCGCCGCAGCTCATTTTTCCTCCAGTTTCCTGTAATCAGTGTGAAAGCTTTCAATAAACCTGGGTTTACACGGCTGGCACAACGACGTGAAAAGAAGCAGGATCAGGGAATAAATGATGGTGTGTGTGATTGTGTTTGCAGGAGGCGCCGGGCGGTCGTCCACGGACCGGACGAGGCCGCCGTGTTTGAGTCTGGGGCTCTGCCTTCTGCCGGCGCTGCTCGCCTTCTGCTTCGTCTGCGTGGCTGGATGCTACCTGTGGTCAGGTGTGTTTCACGTGTCCAGTAATGCTTCCTCAGCTCAGCCGTTTGTCAAGCTCAGTTAATCTGAGGTCAAAGTTCAGGTGAGATTGTTGCACTTTTACTTGGAGCTGCGCTGCCCTCTGGTGGCGGGCAGGAGTTACAGCACTCTGAGTCTGCAGGTAATGAACAAACATGTGTGCGGTAATGAAGCGCCTTCATTCATCATGTGATACGAGTCTAACTTCCTGTCTATGTTCAAAGGTGCGTATATGAATATTACAGGTTTGTTGTTTGTTGTCGGGACACGAGTCTGTGGAGTCAGCTGACAAACACGAGGCTTCCACAGGTGTTTGACACAAATGTTTTTAAATATGACGCTAACACCGTCACAGTGGGTCAGATTAGGATGCAGCTAATAACAAATCCTGCGAAATGAAACCCGACTGAAGCTTAAAAATGAAAACTGAAACGATGTGTGGCAGCTGTGTAGGTCAGCTGTGTGTGATCGTGGTGACGGCGTCCTGCGTGAACAGGTTTTACCAGCTCGGTCAAACAAACGCTGAAGGACCTTTGTGTTCTGGAAGGATCCGTGAGTGTGGCTCTCTTTATTTCAAGGAAAAGCTGTTAAACTTCAGTTAATCATTTTTCACGTTTCCAGACCATCCAGGGAGCCGGGCTGGCGTCTTCTGGGCCCCGGCCCTTATGTTTGACACCCCTGGTTTTCAGATTTATAAATATCATAAAAAGAGGCTTCACACACAGACGAGTGCTCTCCGTTTAATTTCTATTCAAGCAAATCAAATTCACATGTACAAGGAAAACATCTGTGGAGACCCTGAACAAGCTACATAAGTGATTCTTTATCATTCTTACATTTGAAACGATGCCATGAAAAACATCAGACCTGTGGCGTCACACCTCACAGCAACATTTTCAGATAAGAACAACACTAAAGCAAAATCATCTCCTTCTCTGACACAAATAAAAGAGATCAGACAGGAAGGAAAACATCTAATGCCATCATTATCAGCAGCTTCAGCGTCTCTGCAGACGACGCTCAGCCTGGAAACACCTGGATGTAGCTCTGAGGTCCAAAAAATTAAAGCTGCAGTCGTTGCTGGGACCAGCAGGGGGCAGCAGCTGTCTGTTTCATGGTAACAGATCAATAAAGATCTATCGTGTCTTAGACGGCAGCAAGCAATTTATCTGAGCTCATTGGTCTCAAGTCTTATTAATAATAACAACATGAAGCTTAATTAATAAAATCTTAAAGCCGGTGTGTGCTCACCTGTGACTGACAGGTGTCTGACCTCTGACCCGGCCGCACTATCGAGTCTTAAAAACTAGGAATGTGGAGAAGTTTGGGACTCAGAGGTCTGACCTCCAACTCTGACGCCGAGCGTGAGGCAGGACGCCGCTAACCGTGCTGCACGCT